CATATGGTGATCGGCTCAATGAAGATAAATGTTCATCCATTAAACACTACTTTATTAGATTACATTATGGATTTACTCAAATCAAGTCGCAAATTCAGCCTTTTTTATACTATCAAGGTCAAACTTTAAACAATTATTCAATTCTCTCACTTTGGAAGAATCAAATTTCCCTTTTGAATTCAATGTAATCTCCTCATTTTTAGTCTTTTCCGAACTATACATCCCATGCCAACTCAATTTTAAATCATTGGTTCCATATCTAGAGAAGAGTGAAAAAACCAAGGTAGACAGGATGAACATAGGGATGATGATGATCGAAAACAAAAAAAGATAGACGTAAAAACGAAGATTAATTAATGAGATTAGGAGGAAGAATTATGGTTAGGGTTAGGGTTATATGGATCCAACGAACATTTAGCAAAAGATTCTGAAAAGCTTTTATAAAAAGGCTCCACCGCACAAGGCAGAAGAGTCCCACCCCCATGTGTTAAAGGTCCCCATCTCCAATTTGTTTTGATGCATAAGTGCTTGTCTTTGCCCTTGGTTTTTCTTTTATATTTATAAGTATATTTCCATCTCTAACACTTAGCCCACATTAGGTAACCTTATGTTATAAAGAGGGTACCAAAACCATGTGATTCGGTGGCTGCTTCCCCCCACAATCAGAATCCGTCCATCAAACCTTCTTCTCCCTGTGGGGCTAAACCTCTCCCCCCACCCTTTTCAACCTTACCATCAACACAACTATGGAAAACAAACCAATCCCTTTTTGCACGTTACCCCCCTCGTGCCATTATCGTTTTCTCTTCTTCCTTCTTGCCTTCCATTTTCATACCAGACAATTGACAAGTACCTGACACTTTTGTCACACCATCCATCTTATATATTCTTTCTTCATTAGATACAATATGATATCCATAATATGAGTAAAGGGTAAAGGAGAGTGAGAGAAGAAAATAAAAGGGAAAGTGTAATATTATAGACCAATAACATGAAGACCATTATTCTTGCACGAAGGGACATCGAAGCATACCATAGAATTGATGATATTAGGTTAATCATGTAGATCTGATATGATTATATATTTATAAGATATAGTTTTTAAGATCCCTTGCATGTGTTAGATACCTCCTAACCTACTCACTCACATGCTCCACACCCATTTATATATCAAATCCAAATATTTTTTCATGGGATATGAAAAAGCACCTGGAAACAAAATCTAACCCTAACTTAACTTTCACCATAAAATTTTATCATCTGGGTAACGTGGGATGAATTTATTGGTCAATTCTTCAAAACTTTTTTATGATCTGTCATATGAATGTGCTTACTTTTTTCTAATTTTCACATTTGGAGATCGTTTGGATTTTTTACTCCTAATTTATATATATTTTTGGGGAAAAAAAAATCCCATTTAAATTATAAAGGGTAATGAGAGGAGGCACAAGTTTCAATAATTGAAATGGACAAAGAAGAGAGTCATCACTCTGCCCTACTGGAAACTGGTTAGGCCCAATGTGTCGGCTTCATCTTCGGAATTTGAGTGCTTCATTTTAGAATGAAAAGATAGTTTGAGTTTGAGCCTTCGCTTTTCCATTTTTCTAAAATTCTATCTTCCTTCTCTTGTAGCCCATTTTTCATGCAAGCCAACATGACAGCTGAGATATATATTTATTTGCTAAGATTATCATCATCTCCTATATTAATTAATTAATGATGGTTTTATTGTTATAATTTCATGAGATGATAGTGCCGGGCAACCTGCAATCCACTCCTCATTTATGCACAAAATTAAATTAAAAGTATGATGCAAAAAGATAGAATAAAATCTTATTAATGGAGTTTAATGCAATTGTGGTTGCTTTCTGGAGGCCCCAACTACCAAAATAAAGAACTTGTTGATGTATGTCCCAANTGAGGTCGTCTGACTCATGGAACAGTTATATTTTATTCATGATTTTGAACCAGTGGGTATTGCAGATTGATTTGGCCTTATATTTACAAAAGAGTGGTCAAAGATTGAAGAGTTTGATTGAAATCATTAAAAAAAATATTCATACTTAGGAGTGTATTAATCAAGGGACAAAAATTCCATAAGATCATGGCCAACTGTAAGGCTGTAATTAATTAATTAATCAATTAATAATCATAACCTATATTTGACTAATACATATGGTGATCGGCTCAATGAAGATAAATGTTCATCCATTAAACACTACTTTATTAGATTACATTATGGATTTACTCAAATCAAGTCGCAAATTCAGCCTTTTTTATACTATCAAGGTCAAACTTTAAACAATTATTCAATTCTCTCACTTTGAAAGAATCAAATTTCCCCTTTGAATTCAATGTAATCTCCTCATTTTTAGTCTTTTCCAAACTATACATCCCATGCCAACTCAATTTTAAATCATTGGTTCCATATCTAGAGAAGAGTGAAAAAACCAAGGTAGACAGGATGAACATAGGGATGATGATGATCGAAAACAAAAAAAGATAGACGTAAAAACGAAGATTAATTAATGAGATTAGGAGGAAGAATTATGGTTAGGGTTAGGGTTATATGGATCCAACGAACATTTAGCAAAAGATTCTGAAAAGCTTTTATAAAAAGGCTCCACCGCACAAGGCAGAAGAGTCCCACCCCCATGTGTTAAAGGTCCCCATCTCCAATTTGTTTTGATGCATAAGTGCTTGTCTTTGCCCTTGGTTTTTCTTTTATATTTATAAGTATATTTCCATCTCTAACACTTAGCCCACATTAGGTAACCTTATGTTATAAAGAGGGTACCAAAACCATGTGATTCGGTGGCTGCTTCCCCCCACAATCAGAATCCGTCCATCAAACCTTCTTCTCCCTGTGGGGCTAAACCTCTCCCCCCCTCCCCTTTTCAACCTTACCATCAACACAACTATGGAAAACAAACCAATCCCTTTTTGCACGTTACCCCCCTCGTGCCATTATCGTTTTCTCTTCTTCCTTCTTGCCTTCCATTTTCATACCAGACAATTGACAAGTACCTGACACTTTTGTCACACCATCCATCTTATATATTCTTTCTTCATTAGATAAAATATGATATCCATAATATGAGTAAAGGGTAAAGGAGAGTGAGAGAAGAAAATAAAAGGGAAAGTGTAATATTATAGACCAATAACATGAAGACCATTATTCTTGCACGAAGGGACATCGAAGCATACCATAGAATTGATGATATTAGGTTAATCATGTAGATCTGATATGATTATATATTTATAAGATATAGTTTTTAAGATCCCTTGCATGTGTTAGATACCTCCTAACCTACTCACTCACATGCTCCACACCCATTTATATATCAAATCCAAATATTTTTTCATGGAATATGAAAAAGCACCTGGAAACAAAATCTAACCCTAACTTAACTTTCACCATAAAATTTTATCATCTGGGTAACGTGGGATGAATTTATTGGTCAATTCTTCAAAACTTTTTTATGATCTGTCATATGAATGTGCTTACTTTTTTCTAATTTTCACATTTGGAGATCGTTTGGATTTTTTACTCCTAATTTATATATATTTTTGGGGAAAAAAAAATCCCATTTAAATTATAAAGGGTAATGAGAGGAGGCACAAGTTTCAATAATTGAAATGGACAAAGAAGAGAGTCATCACTCTGCCCTACTGGAAACTGGTTAGGCCCAATGTGTCGGCTTCATCTTCGGAATTTGAGTGCTTCATTTTAGAATGAAAAGATAGTTTGAGTTTGAGCCTTCGCTTTTCCATTTTTCTAAAATTCTATCTTTCTTCCCTTGTAGCCCATTTTTCATGCAAACCAACATGACAGCCGAGATATATATTTATTTGCTAAGATTATCATCATCTCCTATATTAATTAATTAAAGATGGTTTTATTGTTATAATTTCATGAGATGATAGTGCCGGGCAACCTGCAATCCACTCCTCATTTATGCACAAAATTAAATTAAAAGTATGATGCAAAAAGATAGAATAAAATCTTATTAATGGAGTTTAATGCAATTGTGGTTGCTTTCTGGAGGCCCCAACTACCAAAATAAAGAACTTGTTGATGTATGTCCCAATCCAAACACATAATAGGTGAGTAAGTTTTTAAAGGTTTTATTTGCTTTAGGCCTGGAGGCCTGTACGGTTTTGTCCTGAAAAGACACCTCTAGGTGTTAAGAATGTCTTATACTATATAAGCGACCAAGACCCTCATCTCTTAACTAATGTGGGACTTTGGGGCACCAACAGAACTGATTTGCATCTCTCTCACAAATCAAAATCTGAATTTCTTCCACTTGTGTTGATTATGATGAATTGAAGTTTAAGACTTAATCCTGGCTGCAAAGAAAGTAAGTGGGTACTTGAAAAATTCTACAATTCGGAGAATTCTCAATAGGTAACAATTTATATGCCCTCTAGTAACTAGAAGATTTTGCGCTATTTATGGGCTTTGTCAAGCCCATTCTATTAACTAGTGGTCTGCAAATGGGCTAAGAGAACTACTTAAATACAAAGCTTACCGGCCCAACATACTTTGGATATCTTCACAATAGAGTATCTATAGCCACAATTGGTTTGCTTACCCGTAATATAACATCTCTACAGAACTTGAATTCTATAATGTTTTTTTTTTTTTTTTTTTTTTTTTTTTTTTTATATTTCATGCCTAATGCATAGTTTCAAAGATTATGATCAAGGGTGTTCGGACTAGTTTGTACGCACCTCAACTAATTCTTCAGGGTCCTAAAACTATTGGTCGAGTAAGAGTTTCAATGGTCACCTCTATTAGATGCTATGGGTACTCGATTCAAGAGGCTATGTAAACTTAGATCCTCTTTTATTTTTTTTACTATCACGCCATCTTCAATCACCTCATCATCCACCTTTGCTACTTTATGTTATATCTCAGAGAGATGATGAAATCTAATTAATTTATGAATATCAAGTACTTGCTGAAGGCCAAGGAAAAGAACTGGTCGATCAAATTCTAAATACTTTGTATATTTATTCAAATCATTATATTATTTACATTCTTTCTGCACTTGATCTTCATCAAAATATTAGTAAAAACCTTATTGTAAAGGATGCTAGTTTCTCTTTCAAAGTTATTTGGAAGTCTACAACATCTATAATCTGAAAATCTTCCAGTTATGCTGATTATGATGGAGTGCACGCTTTTGAAGTTGATCCCGGCTGCAACAAGGAAAAGTAACACTAAAAATCAGTAGAAAATTCTACAAATCAGAAAATTCTTAATTGAGGTGAGAAAATTTTAAAGCTCACCACGCATGCGTGGATATCATCACAACCGCACAACAGTTTCCCATTTAGAGTATCAGTAGCCTGAAATGATCCTCCTCCTTCACTTCTCTGCATACCAGAACAAGTTTTTTTAATGAAATATTGGTGAATTGCATTCATTCACTTTCTCTTGTTTTCTTTTTCTTGAATTTCATACATGTAGTTGAGGAATTGATACCTTATAGTAATCAACAGCAACAAAATTAGCCCACCGGCTTCCAGCCGCACCATAACAAGTGTGAAGCATGTTAATAAGGTTCCCTGAGTTTGTAACACAAGTCGTTTGCTTCACGGGAACAGTCATGAAGTAATTTACCAACACCAAAGATTTGGTCTTGTCATTAAGTGGAGATGATTCTGCCCTGTTTGGACAACTCCCATCTTTCATTCCACCATTTCCATCTGCAAATTACAAAAGACAGACAGATATATATCATTATAAAACTAGATAACCAAAAACACAAAGAAAAATGTGCTTGGTTTGGTAGTTTCTTACACTGGTTTTCAACCATGTAGCTCCACTGGTAAGCGATGCCTTCGCTTTGTTCTTTAGATTTATCTGAGGTGAATACTAGTAGTGTCTGGTTGTTGGCAACCATGTCACTAACTAGAGGCCAATCTTCACCATTTTTGGGCATTTTCGATACTGGAAACCAGTATTTCATCAACCCAGCAGCAGTGAAGACATTTGTTAGTCCTTTTGGGGCTTGAACATAATCTTCCAGGATCAATGTGACTATTTCTCCAGGGTTGGCTGACATGAATGCTTCAATCTCCTTTAATGTGTCTACTGCTGGTTCCTTTCAATGCATAATATATGTTTTACCAGATGTGACAAGTTAAAAAGACGCTTAGAATAGGGATTCAAACATCTAAGAAGAGTTGGAAAGCAATTAAATGTTGACATACAAATGCAGTATAGTCATGGCATTTTCCTCCAAATGAGTGACACAACCAAACGTCTCCATTAAAATCATATGTGTCCAACATAAGGGCTCGAACTCCATTCTGCAAAATAAACATAAGTCAATTTGGTAAAACAAATAATCATGTAAACTAACTCGTAAATATTAAAATGAAAGAAAATCTGTGCAAGAGAAAATCATCATACATTTAGCTGTTGAGTGACAGTATCTTCTTGATTTGTCACAGTGAGTCGAGGAACTCCTGTGTGAGATGGCTCTCCATCAATGGCAAAAGCATTGTGGGTAGTTAAGAATGCATACTTATTGAGAGGTAGAGAATTATTCTATCACAAACAGGGCACCAAAATTTAGTGTAAGAAAACTCATTAGTCAATCATATTTCAAGAAATATTATGCCAACTCCTTAAAGATTAGTACATAAAGAAACATGCTTTCAGTTGTGTATAAAAACTCTCATTTGCCGAAGTCTACATATTTTGACAAATGGAATATCCACACAGGAATTTGAAACAGGGATTTCTGACAACTGATTTAGCTAAAAAATAAAATGTTTCAAATGTTGGAATTGGCGACCACTTCAACAATAAGGGGTTCGTTTCTAAGGGGCGACACACACAGGGGCCACTCTCTGGTGAGGGGGTGGGGATAGGGGGCAACGCCCTCAAAAACCGCAAATGATTTGGCTTAATACCATAAATAGCCAATGTAAGATTCTCTAAATTAAGAATATAACTTCTTTTGACTTAGGAATAAGAATCTTAATAGTTTTAGGTTTTTCTTAATAAACCTAATATATAAAGACATTATTTACTTGTATGAATGATCTATAAAATTATAGCAAATACATTCATTATAACGAGAGAGATAAAAAAATATTAAAATAATATTGACTCAATAAAATGTAGCTCGAATTTGTGTGAATCAAGATAAATTGAGCATGTTCTTTTTCTTTACTATTTTCGTTGTTTGTGTCTGAGTAATTTTAGTTTGATTCCAAACATTCTTTGGTTATTTCAACGAATCCCTGATCAAATCTTCTCTTCGAGAGATTTAAGTAATAGAATTTAACGCCTACAAGTTTTGATTACATCAATTGATGCATATCTTACATAAAACAAAGGTAAATAACTTTAAAACGCGTTTTGGAGTAATATAACTACTGTTAGTGAAAGTTCCTTTTAAACAGTTGAAGATGTGTTCTCATTACTTTTACAAAAAGCACTTTTTAATTTGATAGAACGCACTTCTCACTAGCAACAAATTGACTTCTAACCGCACTTGTTATTGCTCATCTTAATGATAATTTTATCGTCTCCAAATAGGAGAGGTCTTGTTGTTTGGCTGATTGGCCGAATGACAGCCACGCCAACCACGTAGCCATCCCACGTTTCAGCAACAGTTACGTGTGAATTGTTTTTGGTTGTGAGTTGTGGCCTTCCTGGAAACTACCCCAAACCCCACCTCATGTTTTGTACCATTCACATGAATTAATCTTCCCTTCCCTTACCTTCCATTACTGCCTAAATTCAAGAACTTGTAAACTATGTTGCGGAAACTGAAGAGACAGAGTGAGAAATATGTCATACCATGAGCTTGAACGGGTTTGTAACGCTTGATCTCACACATCTTGAACCCGAAAATCCAAGCGGACAAGAGAAGCAGTAGAGTCCCGCCTCACAATCTCCATCTGAGGAACATGTATCCAGTAGCTACATATTGAAAAGAACTAAACTATAAACAAAGCAGGAAGTAATAATCTCTTTTAACGTTCAAGAAGAAATGAAGTAACAAACCCGGCACTGTCCATTGGAGCAAGCTGCAGCAACAGTGAAAAAGACTGAGACCAGAATGGAAAACAAGTTTTGAGAAGCACCCATTTTTTAAGGAGATTGCTATGAGAAATGATAGAGATGTTTAATTTTCTTGGAGAAACAATGTGGGGTTTCTCAGTTTTGGCTGAGAAAACAAAGGAAATAACACCAAACAGAGAAATAGAATATGAAGAGGTTGGATATCAAATAAAAAAGAAGTCAAATGAAAAAAGATAAATTATGGGAGGGTTTATATAGGATTTGCTTCAGGTTCATCAAGCATCATTTACTCTAATTAGAACACGACATATGTTAAATAATCATATGATTAAGAACCTTGATTAGAATTTAAATAACATATACGGAGCCGGGGTTCCTGATGAAACCTGCTCTAATGTAATTAAAAACCAATTTAATTATTATTTTCGATGCCGTTAAGGCATGCACTAAAGATGAAACTGATGGGTTTTCATTGACTTGTGTTAACCGTTTGGTTTGACTTGTTAATCAAGTTGATCATCCACTTAGTATTGGTTTTTATTATTATTATTAGTAGTATTTTTTTTTATTTAATTTTTATAATCTGTAGTTTACGTGCACTTCAATTAATTTTCGAAACTCATTAAATTTCTTATAAGCTCAATGTTTTAAGATAAACCACACATATGTGGTAGATGATATGAAAGTGATTCAAACCCAAGAAATCAATGAATAAAGCAAACATTCTTGACCGTTAGACTAACCTCTTAAGATTATTTTTATTAAATTTTGAATATGCTTAGGAATAGTTTTGCAATTCTTTTGATGTCACGTTTGAGATAATTGAACGTGTCTTCCCATCTAGTTAATTAAATAAATGAAAATGCGGAATAATTATTAATCTAACTTCTTCGTTTGAAACTAAATTAAGGAGACATATCGAATGCAGTATAATTTAAGGTCTTGAGTCTCTTAAATTATTGCCCACTAATCGAACGGTCAAACAAGGCAGTTGGGCTTTAAGAGGACTTTGAATGGTTCAAACTTCAAATCAAGCGTCATTAAACATTACTCTTGATATTTGGGCCTATTTGCTAGCCCACTTCTATTCTTCTTCTAAAGGTTTACGATTCCGCCCAATTTCATTATGATTTCCAAAATTAGAAAAGTAAATATGTCCAGTATTCAAATAGATTAATTTTATTGTATTATGTAAATTTCTGAAATTCAATAAAATTTTTCAATTTGAATGATGTAGCTTGTACGTAGGGACGTAGCTCAGATTTTTAGTTAATAGGGTCAAAACATCAACTATAAATGGAAGCCCCAAGTCTTATAACTTAAGCTTTTCAAACAATTTATGCTACCCAATAAATTTAACTTATAAACCCATAAAAACTTATCAAATCCAACTCTAAATATCAAATAATTAACCAATCTTTTAAAATTAAACCAAATCCTCAAATCTATACAACTTAAAGTTTTATCAATTCTTTAAAACCATTTAAAATTAATTGAATATCTAATCAAAATTTATCAAACACAACTTAAAACAATAACTAATTAACTCATAACTCAACATAAACAAAATTAAATCAAAACCCACATCAAAATCTAGGGGGTCCGTTTGTTTTATTATTTTAGACAGGATTTTGAAAATAATATTGGGTAGTTGAATAGGGGAGTATTACGAGATAAAATTTACAAATTTACAAAAAAAAAAAAAAAAAAAAAAAACCCTAGGTTTGCTAATTTAACTAAGCACCCCAATATATAAAAATTTTGTAAAATAACAAAAACACCCTCACCCACCCACAGTGTCAGATTCCGGCCACCACCGTCAGAATCTGGCCGAAAAATGGTGTTACGACGTAGACTGGTCGGATCTGGCGGGTAGGGCATTGATATGGCCTTCTCTACGGCCAGATCTAGTTGTCGACGGACGTAAAAGTCCAGATCTGGTCGTTCAAAGATATGGGCATCACTAACGGTCAGATCGATGAATTACTGGCCAGTTCTGGTCGTTTGTAGGCCGTTGTGACAGATTCCGACAACCACCGACAAAGATATGGCCGTCGCTGACGGCCAAATCGATGAATTACCGGCTAGTTCTGGTAGTTTAAAGGCCGTTATGACAGATTCCGGCTACCGTCAACAGTGGTTGCCGGAATCTGGCAAGTATGGGTGGGTAGGGGTGTTTTTGTTAATTTTTAAACTTTTTTCTGGGGGTAGTTATGAAATTAATAAACTTAAGGGGTCTAAAAGTAATTAAAAAATATACTAATATTTCTCAAATAACAAAACAAACAATATTTTAGGAATATGGATAGAAATAATGTGCCAAACGGAGCCTAGGAATTTAATATTCCAGTTTCAAACCCAATTATTAAATTCAATAAAAACTCATAATTCATTATCTTTCATCGATTAAGAAAGCTAAAAGAAAAAAAATTTAAGTATAGAAAAAAAAAATCATCTTACCTTGTAATATAAAGAAGTTGTTTTTCTTGAGTATCTAACCAAAGGAAAAATGCAATATGAGCGAAAATGAGAGGAAACGGAAAGAGGGAAAAGTATAAAAAAATGTTAATTCATAATTTTGTGGTGTCAAATGTAACATCCCACTTGAGGTACATAGTTAACTTATAGTGTATTGTTTAAATGTTTATTGTTTTGCTTTTATTTGGGTCGATATATTGTTAATATTGGTTGGTTGGCCTTAGTTGAATTTTTGTTAAAGTTATTTTGAGAAAGATGTGAAGAAAATCCCTTAAACTTTCATTAGGGGTAAAATGGTCTTTTCACTCAAAATTAGTTGAAATTGTGGGGAGTGAAAAGAGATAGAATTTCATAGAGAATGCATTAAAAATAAGGACATTATGGTCATTGACTAAGGGACATAGATGGAATTTCAAAGAAAGAATAAGGGCATAATGGGAAAGTGTGGTTATAAACTAAAGTGTTAAGGGTTTGAAACCCTTATTTTCTTCATTCCACCGCCACACTCCTCCCCCATTTTCTACAATGTTTCATTCACTCCAAGGATTTTGAGGGCTTTAAGTGGTTTTCATAGGGCTTTGATTCTAGGTATCAAAAGGGAAGGATTACTACTCTTTATCTATGACTTATTTGTGTAAAGGTTGAGTTCTTATAAAGTTTATGCTTAGGGTTAAGAGATGATTGGAATCCAACAAGAGTAGAGAGTTTAGAGAGAGACTACTCAAGCACAAGTAAGTAAATCCACTCAAAATCCAACTCAAGCTAAAATTTAAGAATTCAAGTGAGTAGAGATTTATTTTAAATTGCATAGTTGTGATTATTGAGAAATTGAGATGAGATGTATGTGTATTATGCTTATTGTGGATATATTGAATATGAGAAGTATATGTGATATGATGATGGGTGAAATTGGAAGAATTGGAGAAATTTTTGTGGAGTGTGTTTGCCATGTAGGTATGTGATGCTACAAGAGAGTTTTTCTCTCATTTTGGATGGTTGAGAACTAAATAGAATGATAATTGAATTAGGGTTTGTTTATGCACAATTAATGTTTGATGAAATGTCTAAGTGAAAACGCCCTGTCATTGCCGTGACTTTCTAAGTGATTTTTGGGCACCTTAATGATTGAAAATGGGCTAAGACCAAAACATAAAAGTTGTAGCCCTGTTCTAAGCTTTAAAACGAGACCAAAACCGTAGCAATCCGAGATGTATAACTCAAGTTATGCTCGAGTGTGACCTGCGAAGATGGCAGTTTGATGCAATATTGCATTGTGCATTTAAAAGTGCATTAAGAAGAAAACTTTAAGCATGAAACCATCCCTATGCCTGAATTGTGTTGAGAAGTAGTTTGAGAAAGAGTAGAGAACTTTGTGAATGGGCTATTAAAAGTAAAGAGAATGAGAAAATCTAAGAATGGGTTGGGGCTTTGTGAACTCCAACCGGAAGTTACGAAGAGTGGGTTGGTGCTTGTGAACTCCAACCGGAAGTCACGAAGAGTGGGTTGTGCTTTGTGAACTCCACCCGGCGTGCCTCCGGTAAGATGAGGCGCGGACATTCACTGAGAAGAATGAGAAAATATAAGAAAGAATAGAGGAAGAGAAAGAGTAGAAGTCACGAAGAGTGGGTGGGTGCTTTGTGATCTCCACTCCGAAGTGCCCGTCAGATGAGGCCGTGACATACAACAGAAAGTTAATAGAAAAGAGCTATGTGAAAGAGAAACAGAAAGAGAAAATAAATGAGATGAGAAGAGTGTAAGGAAAGAAGTAAGAGAAAGAGTTACGGGGATAGACGAGTAGAGGATTTACTTACTGAGCATTATTTTGTGCTCACCCCGTTGTTTTTCTTTGTGTTTGCAGGATCTAGGTGAGGACGCGATCGGATGGGCATCGGCAAGCGAGGAGTAATAGCTACACTGTCCATTGTTTTTGATAACTTTTACAAATGATACCTTACTTTGTATAAAGAATGATTATATGTATTAAAAGAAAATTTTCGGGCCCATTTACTTTTGCTAATATAAATGCATTTTACTTTATGTATTTCTGTGAGTAACCTAGTATGAAGCAGTTATTACATCAAAATTATAAATTCTATAAAACATAAAGACTTTTTTTATTGTTTTTAAAAGTTGAGTGAGTTCAATTGAACCCACATGTTTGTATTTAATTACGTGGCTGCTTGTACATAATTTTTTTATTGAAGCGAATTAAGATAAATTGATTATCTTCTTTACCTTTCTGTTTTATTATTATGTGTGTTTTGATTATGATTTTAACAATAAGAACGTTTTGAATGCATGTTGAAAAATGAATTAAAGTCTCATTATGAAAAACTAGAGAATAAAATTTACTAATACTAATCATGTAGTAATTAAATTATCAATAGTATTGGAGTCTTACACCCAGAACGTCCAATCTTTTTTAATTTGAAACTAAATTAAGGAGACATATCGAATGCAGCATAATTTATGGTCTTGGGTCTCTTAAATTATTGCCCACTAATCGAACGGTCAAACAAGGCAGTTGGGCTTGAAGAGGACTTTGAATGGTTCAAACTTCAAATCAAACGTCATTTAGCATCACTCTTGATATTTGGGCCTATTGGCTAGCCCACTTCTATTCTTCTTCTAAAGGTTTACGATTCCACCCAATTTAAGATTTCCAAAATTAGAAAGGTAACACATCCGGTATTTAAATAGAGTAATTTTATTTAATTTATTATATTATACAAATTTTTGAAACTCAATAAAATTATTCTATTTGAATTATGT